CAAGGAAGAAAAGGGATGCTCCCCTCCCCCCCACCCCCTGCCCCATGAAAGCAGTTTATGGGTAGGTCCTTCCATTTAGGGCGTGGAAGTCTGCGGAGCATGCCTGAGACTCCTGGCCTGGCCTAACTAGATGGGCAGAGGCAGAGGCTCAGCCTTCGTACTACTCACAGAGAACTTGGGGCGGAAGATTCCAGAGAAGTGGCTTTTAAGGATCTCCAGTGTGGGTGTCCTTCCCCCCTCTCGCTCCTGCTCCTGAGGCCAGGGACAGACGTCAGCGGGTGGCCAGGCTTAGGGAGGGGGAGGGTAAAAATGAGGAGCACAGCCCCTGCGGGGTAGGCTGGCAAGGGAGGGCAGGGTGGCGGCAGGGCATCTCACCGCGGAGGAGGTGGAATGGCGATCTTCCTGGAGGAGCGGTACAGCCGGGGGCTCGCCGGTGCCTAGCTGCTCCATCTTCTTCTGCAGCAGCTCCTGCTGGGCCTGGAGCTTGTCTTGGCTGCACAGCGCTACCTGTAACCCCTGTATTGCCTCTTGTAGCACCTGCCTCTTGCCCAGAAGCTGCACCCTGCAGCAGAGAGCAGAGAGGAACAACTCAGTCTGAAGTTTTGCCCGCACGGTGGAGGGGAGCCAGGAGGCTGCTGCAGGTGGGGCCTGCTCACCGCTCCCGGGGGTGGGTGTTCTGCTCCTCGTTTCTCAGCTGGCTCTGCAGCTGACTGACCATCTCCTGCCGGCTCAGCACCTCTCTGGTGGCCGCAGCCAGTTCATCCGTCACGGAGGTCAGCCTGCACCCAAGGACAGGAGAGTGAAAGCTGTGCCCGCCTCCCGCCGCCACATGCACCCCAACAAAGCCAACCTAGTCTGGCCACCTAGCTAAGGGTTCCCTGCCCACATCCACACACGTAGTCTGCCAAACTACCACACACGTGTGCTGCACGCTCTCCAACGTCAGCTCATTCAGCTGCAGCTCTCCAGGTTCCAGCTGTTCACCCTCTTCAAGAAGTGACTCATCGAAAGTGACACATGGTGGGACATCAGGGGTGGACCTGTGGGTGGACAAGGCCCTTCAGCGACTAGGTCAGAAGTCCTGGTGCCCAGAAGGTTCGGGGATAAGGGCTGGCTTACCCATACTGTCGAAGGAAGCCTAGGTACTCAAACTCAGGCTGGATACGGGCAGCAGCCGCAGCCAGCTCCCGGTGAATGGATGCCACATCGTCCTGCACCAGACTGCTAATCTCCAGGTATTCCTGCAGGATGTCCTTCCTGCATCCCCCACCCCATAGAACCATCGAGTCAGAGGGCCTCTGGCTGGGCAAGGAGGGCAACTCAGCCTAGGGCACGGGTTCAGCAGCAATGCTAGGTTAGAGGACTCGCCCCCCAACCCCGCCACCCCCCACCACACCACACACACCTCTGCTCATTTGCAAGTGAAATGACCTTAGGCAAATCATTTAAGGCCTCCTTGGCCTTCTGCTTCCTGGTAAGATTATAGGCACACAGGCGGTGGAAACACCGATCCACTGAGATTCTGTGGGCAGTGCCTGGCACCCAGGAAGTACTCGGAACTAGGTCCCCAATAAATACATAAGGCATTGATGTGCTGCTGACCCCAAGTCTGTATCTCCAGGCCTAGTACCCTCGCCCCCCGCCCCGGCCAGTTCCAGTCTTATGTTTTACTGTTGGTTAGGATGGAATGGGGCTGTGGGCTTACAGGATGCCCGCCATCTCCTCATGCAAGTCCTGCAGTGACTGCAGCAGACTGGGCAGCATGAATTGGTGGTAGTGCTGATGGTGCAGTTGTGCGGCCCTCACACCCAGGACGTAGCGGTTGTGGTGGGCAAAGAGCTTCCACAGGCTGCGCACATACTTGTCTTTGGCCTTGTCTCGATCCTTGTCTGTAAGAGGTGTGTGTGTTGGGGGAGGCACATCATGAGCATGCGCGCGCGCGCGCGCGCGCACACACACACACACACACACACACACACACACACACACATACACACACGCTCAGGGGGTTGACATTCCAGAGGCCCAAGCAGCAGCCCCACCCCCTGGGCACCAGCAGGCAGGTCTACTGGGCTGGGTTTTCTCCCTGCCAGGAAGGAAAGCTCCCAAACCTTTGCTGGCTTCCTGGTACTTGCGCCTGGCCTGGGCACTATCGCGAACCAGGGTCCGGTACTGGCTCTTTAGCTTTTCAATGTCCTGGCTGTGGGTCTGGAAGAAAAGGAGGTCAGTATGGGAGGCAGGTCCTCGAGTCTTGGGAGTCCTAGCTGAGGTAAAGCCTTGGAAGGGTTCTGCTACCCAGGCTGCCAGGCTGGCCAAA